AACTACGCACCTCACCGGAGAACCATATCCACACTCCAGAAATGGAAACCACCATCTTAACTGTTTAGAGGAATGATAGACAAACAGAAAAATGTCATCGCAAAACTTCTGGATCGCATTCAGAACGCGGACAGGAAGACTGTAGTGCGACAGAGAACATGGCACTTCCAAGCTTGATGGCAGCGTTGAGCAATCGCGTCAAAAGGTTCGTCTTCGACCCGGACGCCGGCATGAACTTCTCAAAATGGTTACCATGATACAAGGATGTGTTCTTCGAAAATGCAAAGCAACTTTCTGAAAGCACCAGAGTCAGACTGCTCTGCAGAAAATTGGATCCCCGTCTTTCGAAAAGTACCAAAGGCACGTGTTGCCAAGAGATGTGACAGAAATTGGTTCACCGAGACGGTGGACATACTCAAGCAATTGTTCGATTTCAAGTCGTCATTGTTTACCACGAGATATCAATGTCTCAAGCTGGAGAAGAACCATTCAGAAGACTTCCTCACGTATACCGGTCGAGTGAATGTCTCCCGCACTAGAGCTCAAACTGCTCCGCCAAGTCTCCGCTCAGACCTAATCCGACAATATGTTTGAGCTTGCAACGTCGTATCAGTCGTGCATGAACCGTTTTGGGGCGATCGACGTAAGGAGGAAGAGCTCCTTTCAAAAGAATCGAAAATGACAAAAATTAGTCACGCACTTGCAATCGCTGCACATCGTTTCAGCTGATACGTGTTCAGTACGGCACTGAGAAGTGTGAAAGGGAAACGCATCGTCCATCCTCCCATATTTCCTGCGTTTTCAGGATATCACATTGACATTGAGGGTATTACGCACAAGCAATCGAACGTATGGATCAAATAAGACTAAAGACTACGACGATTCCCCGGCAAATCCAACGATAATAGCCTTGCCATTATCGTTTATTCGAGCCGGAAAGGAGCTCGATGAAGATGAGGAAATCAGTACCATGGTCTACACTACATTCGATGGACTTGCTTGAATGAGCGTTCAATTT